CATTTGCCGTGGACAAAAGCTGCCCCGAGCTCAAGCTTGACCCCATCAAGATCAACTTCAAAAGGCTGAAGATGACTGAACCACAGGCTACATCAGAGAATGCGCATCAAGAACACAAGTCCGAAACTGCGGAGGGGTCGGCTTGTCAGGCGTCTTTTTCTCCCCCCTGGGGCCACAAGACCCCGCAGCAGTTGCACATCCTCCGGCAGGTTTTCTCCAACACCCGCTGGCCCAGCAGCCAGCAGTACGAGGAGCTAAGCATCCAGACGGGCCTTCCCAAGTCCGAGGTGGTGCGCTGGTTCAGCGACAGCCGGTACAGCCACAAGAACGGGCAGCTGAAGTGGTTGGAGAATTACCAGCGGCCGCCCGCGGAGTCGGAGGATGCGAGGGGTCACGGAGATGCAGAGCTCGAGCCACCCAAGGACGCTCCGGCGGCCAAAAAGAAACTTGCTGAGCAAGACATGAACAAGCACCTTGAAGGAGAAGCAGGACTGAACTCAGGTCAGCGGGTTGTGTGGCAGGATTCATACTCACCGCTGATGGGCCTGATGGGATCTGAGGGGAGCGGCGAGCGAGGCCAGCGTGACGAATTGGGGCAGCCGGGAGCTTTGCAGGATCTCTGGTCAGACCGAGCGGAGGACCACCAGCAGCCAGTGGCTAGTCAGTCACTCATTGAACAACAGACTGATTCCAATCAGGCCAGGTATTTGAGTCACAACAATCCTTTTTGCACACCACTGAAACACACATTTCACTCACAGTGCCTTGTGATATTTTACAAGCTCGGTGCTATTTATCAATCAAGAAAACAAAAACAACGTAAGGCAGGTGGAGTGATGAAAGGGTGACAGCTTGTTGTTTGTAGTGACTGCTGCGTGATGTACAGTAAAAAGAAAGCAGGAGAAGTGGGTACAAGTACTCATGCTGTGTAGCTTATTCAGGCAATCAAAGGTCTGTGTTTAAGAAGCTATTTTTAGATAAGTAGGAGTCTGGCCCGCTGAATTATAGATTGAGAGCGCATGCTAACATATGTGAATAAATCATGACAATTGCCTTTGGTGAGTTAGATTTCCGAGAGGCAAGACAAGCCATACGCAGGCGTCTTTTTACTGTGCTACCCCCGACCCCAAAAAAAGCCCTTCAATTTTACAACACACTGCAGCAGTGCCATACAACCAGAATGATCCAATTGCATCCTCACGGTTTGTGTATGTTTTGTTTGCCTGTCTGTCTGCGTGTGCTGGTTAGCAGGGATCGCCTGAGGATGGAGATGCTGGAGGTGTGATGAAGCAGGCCTGCTCTCGCCAGAGGACCATGATGTTCAAAAGCTGGCTCGCTCCCCTGGTCGTGGTCTTAACACAAAAGAAAAAAACGGAAAAAAAAGAGTGTTCATAATGACAGCAGATGTGATTGTAGCTGGACCGTTGGACTCTGACTGTAACTGTGAATACCCCCCACCCCTCCTTCTCCTCCTCTTCCTCCTCCTACTTCTCCTCCTCCTCCGCCTCCTCCTCTTCTTCTTCTTCCATCTGCCATCACTTCCTGCCATCGTCAAAAGAAAGAACTTCTCACCTTTGAGTCCTGTGATGTTTAAGCCTTTCATGCTTCTTTGTGGTTGTGTGGGGAGGGTGCACAATGAGGTCAGTACGAGGGATCAAAGACAAGAAAGAGAAAAGACGCACACTGACTGGAAAACTGACTTGAATGAGCGAAGATAGGGTAGGATAGGGCCGAGAGATATTGTTCTGGGGTCAGAGGGAGAAATATATATATATGATTGAAACTGCACTATAAAAGAGGGTTTGTACTGACTGGACAAACAAATGATGTGTCAAGGATATGTTATTGTTGGCTTTGTGATATTTTTTACTTTTTTAGCAACCAGTACTTCAGCACTGCCTTGAATTTTACTTTTTTTCTCCTTTATTTGGTTTTTCAATTCTATTTACTCTTCTATAGTCACTGTAAGTCCAGATGCAATCAAACATGTTTTATTTAGATCTGTATAAATGTTGGTGATCACTTTTGCAGTTCAGCTACACGCAAGAGACTATATACAATGCACTAATGAAGACAGCAATGCTAAAAAAAAAAAAAGAATCACACTGCTCCACAGTAAAGGTATTGACTGCTCCGTCAAGATCAATACACTACACTGCCCTGCAAACTGAACAGAGAGAAGCCTGTCACGCTAACGTTGCCTTACTCAGCTCTGTCCATGTGTTTATATGACCTGTCTGTCCATCACCTTGCTTTCCAGCTACTGTGCTGTCCAGAAGAGAAGAAGAAAAAAGATAAAAAAGATAAAACATGCCAGTGCATTGATGGTCACTGTTGGTCTATATCTGTGAAACAATCTTGTGCTGCTTTCTGTACACTTGGAGATGTTTAACTTTAAGCTGTAATTGTATCAAATATTGTTACTGGCAAACTGTTGTTTAAAGCAAAATTATCAATTTGATCCCTAGACACTGACAGAGTGAGATATTGTGCTAGCTAGAGAGCCAAATGAGGAGATCTTTGCTCTCCTCTGAATTTTCTTGTTTATATGAACATACAGTCACTACATGAATCCTACTAAGCTGCATCTTTGTCAAGCTGCTAATAGCTAAGAACGGTGCTATACCATCCAAAGTGAAATTGGAGGTTCATCTCCTACCAGCAGTGTATGCACTTGTGTCGAATGTTACAAATTTATTTTGGTTTGAGATAAATGGAATCTGGACTTACGGTGTTATGATGACTTAAACTTTTATGAAATAGTCTGATCATAAAGCACTGTTGTATCATCCTTTCTACACTTCTGAATCTTTACAGAATAAACTGAATACTCACCAAGCAGAACAGCCTCCTTTTTTCCCCCCACCTCTTTTGTTCGGCACCTTGTGTTAGGGGTGAATATGAATCATGTGGTGTTAGTCAAATTATTCAGTGTGATGAATGTTCAAGCAGCATGCAATGTGCTAGGACTGGAGAAATGCACACAGCCTCACCTGCTGGCGAGCAGCTGACAATACAGTTTGTGCCAGAGATAAGGGGGTGGCAGGCAACACCCAAACATCTCCATGTATGTAGTGTAGTCCTCCTACATCACATTCAGGGGGAAGCCTTCCAGTTTTTATTTTTGTAACCCTGTTTTTGCCCACATGAATTTAATAACACCAGCTTGTTTTCCAGCTTAAAGTATTTCAGGGCTCTGTTGATTCAGTTCTCAGGGCTGTTCATGGATATAGGAATAAAATTTAGAGCTCATGTTTGTTCTCCCATTACAGGAAATAAAGTTGTGTTTAAGAATGCTGTAAATCGGGTAAGAGAGCCACCGTGGCTGAAGCTCCAAAATAAATGCATCCATCCAGCCATCTTTAGTTTATCCTTGTCAGGGTTGCAGGGGAAGGCTGGAGCCCATCCCAGCTGTCTTAGGGCGAGAGGCAGGGTACACCCTGGACAGGTCACCAGTCTGTTGCAGGGCTACACTTAGAGACAGGCAACCATTCGCACTCACAAGCAATTTAGAGTTACCAATTAACCCATCTCCACTAACTGCATGTCTTTGGAATGTGGGAGGAAGCCGGAGTACCCGGAGAGAACCCACACAAACACGGGGAGAACATGCAAACGCCACACAGAAAACCCCCGGCCTGATGGGGCAATTGAACTCAGGATGTTCTTGCTGTGAGGCAATAGTGCTAACCACTGTGCTGCCGTGAAATAAATGTAATTAATAAAACAAAATGAAGAAGAGGTGTTGTAAGAGAGAAAATGAGAAAACACAAAGCCAATGAGTTACCTGTAATGTTTTATTCATTTTTCAATCTACAATGAGCTTAAAACATGATCAAAAGGCTATGACAAAAAAGGTAAAACAGGAATAAAATGTGGACTTTACAGCTACTTACATCAACTTTTCTATAAGAGTGGAACAGAGTGGAGTAAAATGAACTGAATTCACATTAAATGTTACAATACTCAATCATTACACAATTAAAAACCTGCCTAAAATTGTAACAGTTTGGTGATGTGTTTTTTTCCTTTTTGGCAAAAGTTGATATCCCTCACACACACACACGCTCTCCATTTTCTGACTTTATACATTATCATAGCATCTTCAAGTAACAGATATGGGAGGTTTTTTGGAACAATTGTTTAAATTAAGTTAAAAATCAGATGTAGACAGGGCTATGCAGCGAGAGAGTCCGAGGATGCTAGCAACAAAAGGATAAAAATGATTGGTTCACATTTACAATGAAAAAAAAAAAAAAAGTCCCTGATAGAAGCTGTAAAACAAAATATTCACATTCTGCTTGTTTAAGTAAATATTGACATGGTTGCAGTATTTTCCCCTTTGCCTGCCCAGACATCCCCTTCCATGCTCAACAATTCAACATAGTCCAGTTTAAAATATTCACCCAAACAGACAGCTTCTACGGTTGAGCCCTAACACACACAAGCACGCGCACGCACACACGCAAACACTCACATTTTCATTTCCTCAAAAGGCGCGTGGGTGTAGTTAAGGAATTCATTCAATTTTTTTACTTTGTCTATCAAAATATAGAATTCATTAATAATACATGGGATGGCTAAAATACAAAGTGAGTGAACAAAGAAAATAAAATGATACAAAGCATTGTTTTTGCTTGATACAGTAGCTAAAAGGACCACAGAGTTCAAAGTTCAGGCATTGTCAGGTTTTTGTCCCAGAGTGTGGACAATCACAGAAGGTAAAAGGGTCTTTAAATTACAAGTACTAAGCCTTGAATCCTAGTCGTGGGTAAAGTTCAGTCTTGTTGCCCGATCTCAGATCAGATGTTTAGACTATCCACAACTCCCCCCATAACCCTTCATAATGGCCTCACATCACTTCATCTTGTCGCCCTTTTTGTTTTTCGCTCAAACGTTCTGAAATTCCTTGTCAGGTCTGGCCACGGAGCAAAATTCAGTAAAGCTAAAAAA